ATTTTCTTTTAGGAGTTTTATGGTTTTACATTAAAGTCTTGAATACATTTTGAGTTTATTTTTGTATCTGGTTTAAGAAAGTTGTCCAATTTCATTCTTTTGCATGTTTCTGTCAAATTTTCTCAATGCCACTAATTGAAGAGATTGTCCTTACCCCATTGTATATCCTTGCCTTCTTTGTCATAGATAAATTGACTGTATTAAGGATCATTTATTTCTGGGCTCTCTATTCTATTCTATTGATCTGCATACCTGTTTTTATGCCAATACTATATTGTTTTGATTATTGAAAACTTTTTTTTTTTTAATCCTCACCCGAGGATATTTTTCCATTTTTTGTACAGATAGAGTGGAAGGGAGAGAGAGAGAAACATCGACGTGAAGGGAGACATCGAGTGGCTGCCACCCACACGACCAACCAGGGCCGGGGACAAACTGCAACCGAAGTACGTGCCCTTAGCGGGAACCGAACCAGGGTCTCTCCGGACCACAGGCCGACGCTCTAACCGCTGAGCAAAACCGGCCAGGGTGATTATTGAACACTTTATTGTTTGATATCAGAGAGCATGATATCTCCCACTTTGTTCTTTGGATGTTCAGGGTCTTTTGTGATTCCATATGAATTTTAGGATTATTCTAATTTGTATGTATGTGTGTGCGCGCACACGTGCAAGTGTGTGCCCCAAGTGAATCTCATTAGCTATTTAAGAAACCAAACCCTTTGCAATAGCCCTTTCTGGCCAGTATCATAAGCTCACAAGTCTTGTAAGTGGCCTGCAGGTTTCTCTACCCACTTCAACTTCACAGAAGGACCCCGCAGTGTTGAACTACAGTGATACCTCGGTTCTCGAACGCCTCGAATTTCGACCAAATCGGTATTCGACCAGGAGATTCGAGAAACTTTTGTCTTGGAATCCGAACAAATATTTGGAACTCGAACTTCCGAGATGAACCGAGTTGAGCCGAATGGCGTTCATTCGGCCCAGCGCGCCTTGGTTGCGTCATCGGTGTGAGTGCAGAGAGAGAGTCACGCTTTGTGGAGAGAGTCACGCTTTACACTGAATTTAACCCTTAGACATACTGTACACTTTTATTTCTTGTTGAGACTTATGTTTTTCTACATATTATATACAAATTAGGCCAGTAAATAGGCATTTTCTGGGGCTTGGAACGAATTAATCCAGTTTCCATGATTTCCTATTGGGTTCATTGCTTCGGTTCTCGAACAATTTGGTTCTCGACCGTCCTCCTGGAACGAATTATGTTCGAGAACCGAGGTATCACTGTAATTGAATGTGCATAAAGGTTTGCCTTTTTACTGTATTTTTCATTTCATGTATTGTACTCTTCAGGCTTGGTTCTTTCGTATACTTTCTCTTTAATGAAGTTCTCCCTAAGTACCTCTCAAGTTCGTGAGCACCCTGATAACGGTTTCTCTGAATTCTATATCAGGCAAATTACTCATTTCCATTTCCTTACGATGTTTTTATGGGCATTTTTTTGTTCCTTTATTTGAAAGATATCTTTTCACTTTATATGTGGGTTTTTAAGAATTTGACAAAATAGCCCTGGCTGTTTTCCTCAGCAGTTAGAGTATCAGCCCATGGACCAGTAGGTTGCGGGTTTAATTCCGGTCAAGGGCACGTACTGCAGTCGCAGTTCGGTTCCTAGCCCTAGTCAGGGTCGTAGGGGAGGCAGTCGGTTGATGTGTCTCTCTCATCAGTATTTCGCTCTCTCTGTCCCTCCCATTCTATCTGAAATAGAAAAATATCCTTGGGTGAGGATTGAAAGAAAAGAAAAGAATTAGACAAAATAGTCCTCTCCCCCAGTCATGAAAAACTGGCCTAGTGTAGTAGACTGTGTAGGCTGTGTGTGCCTGGTGGGAGTTTTGGCAAGTCAGGAGGAGGTACGCTGGTGCCAAAGGATTGGCCCAGGGCTGAGGCTGGGCGTGTGGAGTAATACTGTGATCTGGTTTGCTCCTTGTTCGGGCCAAAATAGGCTCAGGAAATATATGACTGGAGCAAAGCCCTGGACTGAGTCCCCATGGCTCTCTGGCCTTCTCTACATCTTTCTCGTTGTAACTGAGTGGCCTCTGTGTAGGTATATATCAGGTAGTTCTGGCAAGTGGTAGGAGCCTAGCAGGTACCTAATGAGCATCAGCCCTTTGTTCAGAGGCAGAAGGATCTGGCACTGTGGGCGGGAACCACTGCAGCAACCCCGCTGCCCTGTGCAGGTGGAAGAGACATGAACGATGGTGCCCATGGGCCAAGGGCTCCCAGCCTCCTGTTCATCTCTGCCTTGTTGTCAGAAACTGCTCGCTCAGCCCTCGGTTGTCTCACAGAAGTAACTGTTGCGTTTGCGTATTTCTGAGTCCACTCCTGGGAAGGGTGAGGTCGGTGGGCCCCTGCACTGCCCGACTCCCAGACCCCCTCTGGTGGCTCCCATTCTGGGAAGAAAGCCACGGGCATTTTAGCAGTTGGGCTTCAGTAGCCTGGTCTCAAAAGAAAACTCAGAGGCATAACTTAAAAGCAAAATGTTTATTGAAGTGTTGTACAAAAAAGTTTCCAGTCAGAAAATGTATATTACAAAGCATTGGAGAAAAAAAAAGACCACACATTTGGCATGCACCTTAAAAACCACCACCACGTCTGAAATGAAAGTGCAGACCCGCCGCAGTCCTGGAAGCTGACTCCCTGCGCACGGCGCTGATGCGCTGAGCAGACGTAACACCTTCCAAGTAGTTCTGCCGGCTGGATGTCAGTCCCACTTGGATATGCCAACACGAACAGAACTGCAGGGTCTCCGTGTTAGAGCCTGTTAGGAAACTGGTTGAGTGATCATGTCCTAGGGTGGGCACCCAGGCCTGGGCTGTGTACTTGCCCAGCTGTCTCCCCGCAAGCTGCCCCCTCACCACTGCTGGGCGCCAGTCTGGTTTTTCTCAGGGGTGCTGGGCTCAGTCACACGGCAGGAGCTCAGACAGAGGCATCACTCTGCATTCTTCTAAGTGGCTTAAAGCTAAGCTTGTTTAAAGACACGTGCAATTTCCCAGGCCATAGCAAGCAATTTCACATTGATTTCTGCTGTTTTCCAAATACTTGATTACTCATGAGTGTCTCCACCTGGTCCAGATGACCCTCCCCGCTGAGTGGAGGCTGGGCCACTTCCCAGCTCCACCCAAAGCCTCTGCCAGGAACTAGGGAGGGTCCTTCTCCCTTCCTGTCCGTGAGCTCACAGCTGGGAAAGACTGTTAGCAAACCACAGACCAAAATTCCAGGACAGCTGTGATCCCCCCCGATACCCCCAAAATGTCACTGGAGGTCAGTGCCCCTTTTGTCTGGGGCCACCAGACCTATTCTCCTGGGACATCACTGAGAGTTCTAGACTCTCTGTCCACACAGCTCCTATGGGCCATGGGGGACGACAACCTTCAGCCTCAGGACCCTGCAAGTTTTCCCAGGAGAGGTTCAGGTGGGGTACGGGTGCTGCATCACGTGAGGGGGCAAGCTCTCCGGGGCCCACCAGAACCTTCCGCGAGTTGCTCTGGTGACACACTTCCTTCCCTCCTTGGCCTGGGAACAGGGTGGCCATGGGAAGAACCTGGATGTTAAGTGAGCGTTGCGGGTAAGCTCTAAATGAAACAGCACATTTAGGTCGTCAGCCACTGGGGCTCTGGCTTCCAGCCCTCACCATAAACAATTCCCGAGGAAAGCCAGGCCTGGGGGTGCACAGGGCGAACGGGAAGGTGTGCCTCTCCCCCCGCCAGGGGAACCGAAGGGCCAGCCGGCACGGTGCTCGGAAACTGCCCACCCAGGCAGCTGCCCTGGCTCAGTATCGAGTCTTTAAGACTTGAGCTGCCCTTTCTGAAGCAGTTTGCCAACTGGCAGCTCCGAGCTAACTGAAACAGGCCCTGTGGGGGCTGTCCCTGTGACCCTGGCCGGAGCCGACGAAGCAGGGTCGGCAATCTGAGTCCTGACCAATGTAAAAAAATAAATATCCATTAAAAAAATAACTTCTGTGTATCTCGGTGGGGGCTGTAAACGGTAGGTAATGCAGAGGCGGCTGCTGGGTGGCAGAGGCTGGCCTGTGACATGGAGCCACCCTAAGGGGTCAGCTGGCAGTGGCCTGAGTAACATAATTTCCACAAGAGTTCCAGATAGAAGCAAGAAGAGCGATATATATGCAGAATATATACGAGGTGGCGGGGGGCTGGCACTCAGCCCCAAGCACGAAGTGTGTGTGTGGGGGCACCCAATGGCTCACCCTAAAGTCAGTGTCTTCGTGACAGGAGGGCACAAAGTGGTTACTACACGTGAACATGGTTCTAAAACCTGAGGCATTTGCTGCTGAGGTTCACACGTGTTCCCTCACTGTTTACCTGGCTACTAGTCTTTGATCGGAAGTGTCCCTGTCCTCTGGTTTCCTTCTCTCCTGTCCTACTGGTCTTGTTCCAGAAATGCATGGGTTAGGCAGCCAGAGTGGGAACAAGGAGCCCCCCCACCATTGTGCTGATTCGCGCAGGCAGAAAACCCCACCTGCCACCAACACCTTCGGAGCAGGAGTTGCAACAACCCTGGCAGCCAGGAGGACAGTAAAACCTGCGACTCCCCAGTGCTCCCATACCACCAAACCCCACAGGGGACACCCCTACCCCTACCAGGCAGGAACCTGGATTCTGATTTTGGTTTCAAAAGCTTAATAACACAAAGGACAACTACTGAATCCCTACAGCTTCTCTGCCCTCCCGTCCCAGCCCCAGTCTGTAAGGGAGGCAGGGACAATGCATGGGTCCCTCCAGCCTCCAAGCCCAAACCTGTCAGCCGTTTGGTTTCTGAGCCTGGAATTCAACCCACAGGGAAATGGGCACCGAAAGATGTCTGGACAGTGGTTGAAGGGAGGGTCCATAGAAACCCACCGATAGGACAGAACAGAGACCCACCCCACATTCTGGCAGTTTGCTTAAAAATTCTCTAGAAATGTTATGAAGGACTAAAGAAAGCCAATGATAGAAAAATAGTTTTCAGTGGCTCTGGGTACAGAAAGATGTATGATGAGGGGTGTTCCATTCACATCACGCAGCAGCCTCTTGAGGTGGTCCTTGGGTCCCCCTGGGAGGAAGAAAGGACAGCAGCAATTAGGTGGGACTGGGAGGCTAGGAAGGTAGTTGGCAGCCACCCCCCACCAGGGAGGGGCTGGACCAGACCCAGGGCCTGAGCCACGGCAGGAAAATCAGCCCCCAACAAGATGACAGTGCCAGCGGCATCAGCCTCAACTGTCTCTGTTCCAGAACCTTCCATGACTCCTTACTTCTGTTCTAAGCTACATAACACATCACAATTTTGTCTCAAACACCAGAAGTTTCACAACTCTTATCTAATACACTGTGGTCCCAGGTCTCCATCTTCTCCCCAAAGGCCATTATTTAAGTCACCATTCTCCAACATGAAATCTGGTGCCAGGGAGCATTCTCTGAGAACACAAGGGCAGTACCAGTGAATGCCACAGAGGGGCAATCATCTTTCAACACCCCACTCCCAGGGGTCCCTGGGCTAGTACCCCAAGGTCCACACAACAGACAAGACCTGGATGCAAGGAATGCCGCCCCCATGGTCTCCAGCTACAAACCAGGGGACCTAACAGCCAGGAGCTGTGGGAGCCTGGGTAGTGCCAAGGACCAGCCAAGGCCAGTTGTGTCCAAAGGTGCAGCAGCCCAGGTGAGCACAGTGCTGTGGGGTCCAGCTAGCAGGGTCCATGGGTGCGTGTGCATGTGTGTATGTGTGTACGAGTGTGGCCCCTGGGGCCCCTACCTGCTGATGAAAAAGATCCTCCTCGCCAAACTCAGCTCCCTCCTCTTCTCCCTCCTCCCCGTTCTCAGTCTCCCGCACCACCGAGGACTGCTTCACGGTTCTGATGGCCACTTCCTGTGTAAGACAAGGGCCACGGCCACTCAGCCCCTCAGGTGCAGGGCCCAGCCCACAGTGATGGCAGTCAACATGCTTGTTCAGGGTGTCACCACATTGCAGAGTGCCAGCCGGGGACCAGGCCCAGGGCTTCCTTCCCTGATTCTGCTGGCCTAGGTTCCACCCCAGGGCTCCTGCACCAGCTGGTGGTGTGTAGAGTGGACAAGGGAGACCCCAGGACTGAGGCAGAGGAACCCCCACATCCCAAGCCCCAGGTACCCACCTCCCCATCAGCGTTGACCAGGGTAGTCCGGAAGCTCTCGCCTGTGCCCCAGCTGTTCTGACTCTTCCACACAAGTGTTGAGGGGGGACTATGGGCCACCCCCGCACCAGCTGCCCACACCTAGGGACACACAGGAGGGCCTCTCCATCAACGATGGCTCTGGTCCTGGTGCATGTGCCACTATCTGGTCCCTTATCAGAGCTCTCCTTTGATGAATCAGGAATTTAATCCTTCTAGCCTTACTGGGTCCTACCCCGAAATGATGATCACCAGGGTACGGAAGAAGAGACCGAAGTTCACAGTGGCCAAGGACACTCATCTTGGCAAACAGGATGAGCTGGGATCTGAAGCCCGTCAGCTCCAGGGCCCATGCCCATTACATCTTTTGCCAACGCCCTCTGGCCCGGAGTCTGGACTCAGATCCACCTCCACCATGGGATCCTGGCATGTCACTTAGGCACTGCAAAGGGCTCCAGGGAGGGCCCAATGGAATGATGCCAGCATCCAGGTGACTTGTGACAGCAGACAGCTTTTCTCAGAACTGGGCACTCAACCACTACACCCCCCCCCCCAAGCCAGGTCCTACTTCTCCAGCCCCTATCTCACACCTTGTCACCTATGTGGTTGCTGCTGCCACCTCCCTCCCACTGGTGGCCATTCTCCCTCCCACCCCCTCCCCAGCCCACCTGCCCTTCTGCAGCCACCTACCGTGACGGTCTGGCCAGCCCGCAGCACATACTTGGGTGTGAACTTGTAGGCAATCTCCTCCCCTTCGAGGACCTGCCTCTTGATCCTCCAGTTCCCCAGAGACTGGTCCTGTAAAGGGACACTGCCTGACACACAGCTCCAGGAGACCCAACTGGGGGTTCCTCCTGGGGTCAAGAGCCCGTACCTTGTCCGAGGTGTTCTTCAGCTGCACAAACTTGCCCTCCAGGTCGATTTCCTCAATGTTGACGCTGCCCGAAGCTGAGGCCTGCTGGGCCAGCTGGAAGCTGCTGCTGCTGCTGCTGCTGCTGCCTAAGCTGATGCCACTGGAGCCTGTGCCCGGCGGCTCCGCCTCCAGCCGCCTCCGCTTGCTGCGGCCTGAGCGCCCTGTCATGGACACACTGCTGCCACTGCTCGAGGTGGCCCTGGAGATGGTGACTCTTGACGATGGGCTGGGGGACAGCTTCAGCCTGGGGGATAGGGGCACAGGGTGACTCGGTGGCAGCGGAAGTCTGTTGGCCTAAGGTCAGACCAGAATAGCCTGGATAGTGCAAGGCAGGCAGATTCACTCACCAGCCCATCCTGACCTGCCCCAGGCTGGCCGCTCCTCTTTACATCTCCCTTAAAATGCCAACCTTCTGCCCCATCCCACACCACCACTCCCCTCCACTTCCTGGACCCACCCTCAGGCCACCTGACCTCTCCTCCAGGCCCAGAATCCCCACTCCTCACCCCACTACCTCTTGCCCCCCACCTCTCCTCCTCGCCCTCCAGCAGCTTGCGGTAGGCGCTGATTTCCATGTCCAGAGCCAGCTTGACGTCCAGCAGCTCCTGGTACTCTGCCAGCTGCTGCTGCATCACATCCCGCATTTCTGTCATCTCCAAGTCCTTAGCGTCCAGCATCTTCCGGAACCTGTCACGCTCCCCGGCCAGGGCCTCCTCCAGCTCCCGGATCCGGTCTTCAGCTGCACTAGCCTGGGGAGGAGTCCAAGGGCCAGGTCAGGGCAGCCTGTGTGTTTCGTGAGGAGAAGCTCACTTGGCTCCAGGGGGCCGGCAGCTGGGCAGCCTCACTCAGGGCACAATAGGGATGGGACGGGGATGACCTGGTGCCTGACACCTTCAAGGTTGCATCTACTGCCCAGAGGCAGAAGGAAGGACACTGCTGGGGTTGTGGGGCAGGGGCAGGCGGGGACTCCCATGAGTCACCTGCTTCTGAAGGCCAGAGAGCTGGTAGCTGAGGGACTCAACCCGCATGCGTGCCTCCTTCAGCTCCTCACGGGCAGCACTGGCGGCCTTGTCATTCTGGTCGGAGATCAGCTTGGCATTGTCCAGCTGGGGAGACAAGAGCAGGCAGATGGCCGGGTGTGGGGCAAGAGGGGCCATCTGTACTTTCCCGCCTGTTCTGTCCCCTGATCCTGTCCCATCCCATCGCCCCGCCTGCTGTCTCCTGCTCCCCTCCCCCCGTACCTTGGCCTGGTAGGACTGCTCCAGCTCCAGCTTGTAGAGCCGCACTTGCTCATCATGCTGGCTTCGCAGCTCCTCCAGTGCCTGTGCCATCCGGAAGTCATACTCCTGCTGCCGGCTGCTGTCCACCTCCACTAGGTGCCGCTCATGTCGCCGGCGCGTCTCCCGCACCTCCTGGGGACAGAGCATGCTGACCCACTGAGGCAGGCAGCAGGGCTGGTGGGCCAGGGGTTACCACCCCCAGCTCTGCCACCAACCCATCCTGCTCATCAGTGTCCTCAACCCAAGTATCAGGTGCAAGCGAGGGCTCAAAACTGTGCAAACAGGGAAACTCTGAGGAGTCGCCTGGTTTCATAAATTACTGACAAATAACACATTTCACAGTTACCAGAGAGGACACAGCCCAAATGTCCCTCAGATGATGAATGGACAAACAGAATGTGGTCCATCCACACACTGAAATATCATTCAGCCATGAAAGGAGTGAGGCACTGACACCGGCTACCACATGCATGGACCTTGAACACACGCCAGACACTCAAGTGAGAAAAGCCAGACACTAAAGACCACACAGTGTCTGATTCCATTTAAGTAAAATGTCCAGAACAGGCAAATCCACAGAGACAGGAAGCAGGGGATTGGGGTGATAGCTAATGGGTACAGGGTTCTTTTTGGGGTGATAAAACGATCTAGAATTAGAGGTGATGGTTGCTCAACCTTGCAAATATACCAAAAGCCACTCTAAATTGTACACTTTAAAAGCTTTATGACATGAGAATATTTCAATAAAGTTGTTAAAAAATGAATTCCTGCCCTGGCTGGTTTGGCTCAACAGTCAGAGCATTGGCCTGCGGACCGAAAAGTCTCAGGTTTGATTCCGGTCAAGGACATGTACCTCGTTGCAGTTCAGTTCCCAGCCCTGGTCGGGGTCCTGTGGGAGGCAGCCGTTCAATGTGTCTCTCTCACATCAATGTTTCTCTCTCTCTCTCTCTCTCTCTCCCTCCCTTCCTCCTAATCCATCAAAAAAAAAAGGAAAAATATCCTCGAGTGAGGATTATGAAAATAAATGAATAAATATATAATAAAATTGTCTATTTAAAATAAATAAATAATAAAATATAAATTCCTGACAAGTCCATCCCAGGTGCCCAGGGTCCAAGTCATCTGGCCGTCAGGACCCCTATGAGACGTGACTAACAGCTGAATAAACCAGCCGGTGGGGGTCCAAACCTCGAGTGGCACCGGTGCAGCGGCCCCAGGCTCATGGTGGGGCCAAGTGCAGGTGATCAGGCCAGAGAGTGGGCTCCAGAGGAACAGGATCCGCTCCTACTCATGTCACCTCAGAAATCAGTCAGTTACCATGTCCTCAGTTTGTGTACAACAGAAATGTTGCCTCAGGAAGCCAATCACGTTCACAGAGAACTAATGACCCCTGTGGAACCCAGGACAGCACACCCACCTTCACCACACACCCCACAGCTGCTCGCCAGGATCCCCCTCACAGTGCCCTGTAAACAACCCCTCACCACACCCCGAGGGGCTTTCTTCACAGTCCTCTTTGTGGTAACCCCCCCAGGAGCTCGTCATAGCCCACCTTGGCGACGCCTTCCATGGTGCCCTCCCGTCACCCGAAACGGGCCCTTTCATAGGCCCCCTGATAGATCTGGGTACCTTCATAGGTCCTTCCTCAGCTCCCCTCCTAGACTCCTCCCCGACTCCCCTGGTGGCCTTGGCTGTCATAGGGCCTGGCTGGAACCACAGGCCACTCCTCAGCTGCATGTGTACCCTCCTACCAGCAGCCCTTCCCGGCCCGTGAACCACCCGGCCACAGGATTCTATTCTGGGCCCTGACAGCACAATGGGCCTTGTCCTGTGATGATGAGGTAGGAGGGCCCCCACACTGGTCCCCTCCCAGAGGGCACAGGACCCTAGTTCTACGTGTGGTGACCTCAGTCCCTCCCAGCCAGGCCTGGTCTGGCCATGCCAGGGATCAGAGGCAGGGATTAAGAGGTTGCGGGGGAGGGGTGACCAGACCCAGGAACAGAGGGGAGCACATGGCCGCCACCCTACCCTACCCTCTGATAGGGAGGGAGTGGAGTGGGCCAAATGGTGGTCCCATAAAGGTACACCTGCACCCCGGCAGGTGTGGCTCAGTTGGTTGGAGCATCATCCTGAGTACACCAAAGGGCAGTGGGTTTGATTCCAGGTCAGGGCACATACCCTGGTTGCAGGTTCGATCCCTGGTGGGGGTGCATATGGGAGGCAAGCAATCATTTGATGTTTCTTTGTTTCTTTCCTTCCTTCTCTCTCTCTATCCCCCCTACCTCCCTCTCTGAAAAAAAAATCAATTAATACAAAAAAAAGTATACCCATGTCCTAATCCCCAGAACCTGAGTATGACCTTACTTTACAAGGAAAAAAAACCAACTCTACAGATATAGTTAAATTATGGGTCTAAGGTAAGATTGCCCGGGATTATCCAGGTGGGCCCTAAACAGAATGACAAGTATCCATGTTAAGAGACGCCTCTGGTTACAAGGAGGCAGCACTGGAAACCTGCAGGCCCAGAGCCCCACCTGACCCTGGACAGAGGGGATGCCACCACTTTAGGATACATGGGGCGTTTTCCATGACCCAGGTGACACTGCCCCACCCAGATCCCGGAGGGACCTCGTGCAGGTGTGAGGAAAACAAACTTGCACTATTGCACCTCCTACTAGAGAACAACAGAACACTTCTACTTATGAACCTGCTGAACTGTTAACAGTATGTAAGAAAGTGTTCACTGCCTCAAATGTGGGGAAACAGTCCATCAGGCAGCAAGAATAACCAAGGGTATCACACTCCCCAATTTCAAACTACATTGACAAGCCACAACAGTCATAGTACAGTGCCGGCAGGAAAAGATACAGACCAATGGGACAGAGCTGAGAGTCCAGAAATAAACCATTCATATGTACAACTAATTTTCAACAAAGGAGCCAAAAACATACAATGCTTTCTGAGAAAGAAGTCTCTTCAATAAATGGTGTTGGGAAAACAGGACAGCCACGTGTAAGAGTGAAACCACTGCTGACACCACATACAGCAATGAACTCAAACTGGATTAAAGTCTTACATGTAAGACCTGAAAAAATAAATACATAGAAGAGAATATAGACACTAAAGTTATAAACCTTGGTGTCACCAAGATTTTGTGAACTTGACCCTAAAAGCAAGAGAAGTAAAAGAAAAAATAAATGAATGGAACTACATCAAACTACGAAGTTTCTGCATAGCAAAAGAAAGCTACAAAACAGGGCAGGGAGCAGGAAGGAGGGGGTCAATGGGAAAAAAGGGGAACATCTGTAACACTTTCAACAATAAAAAAGAAAGAAAGAAAGAAAGACAAAAAGGCAACCAACCAAATGGGAGAAAATACTGGCAAATGATATCGCAGATAAGGGACTAATATCCAAAATATATAAAAAACTTATACAGTTCAACAATTAAAAAAACACAGAAAACAAACCCCCCCCCGCCACAATCCTATTAAACAATGAGCAGAAGACCTGAATAGACACTTTTCCTAAGAAAATATACAGATGGCCAAGACACATGAAAAGATGTTCAGTGTCACTAGTCATCAGAGAAATGCAAATTAAAATCACAATCACAATGAGATCTCACACTTGTCAGAATGGCTATCATCAATGAATCGATAAACGTGTTGACAAAAGGGAACTCATTTGTTCTGTTGCATTGTTGGTGGTGGTATAATTGGCATAGCGGCTATAGAAAACAGTATGGAGGTTCCTAAAAATTAAAAACTACCTTATGACCCAGCAAATCCTCTTCTGGGTATCCAAAGAAATCCAAACCACTAGTTTGAAAAGATATATGCACCCTTATTTCATTGCTATATTATTTACAATAGTCAAGATATGGAAGCAACCTAAGTGTCCACTGATAGACGACTGGATAAAGATGAGGTGTATACACACACACACACACACACACATACACAATAGAGTATTAGCCATAAAAAAGAGTGAAATCTTGCATTTGCCACAACATGGATGGCCCTACAAGGTATCATGCTAAGTGAAATAAGAGAAAGACAAATACCATATGATTTCACTTATATGTGGAATCTAAAGAACAAAACAAACGAACAAACAAAATAAAATAGAAACAGATCCATAGATGCAAAGAACAAGCTGATGGCTACTAAAGGGGAGAGGGTGATGGGAATTGAAAAATCATATATCTGGTAAGGGCTAATATAAAAGCAGCAGGATCAGCACTGCTCAATATATTATTCATAAACTGGTCATAATGTTGTCATATTTCAGCATACTTGCTTTTAGTCTGTCCACCTGGCTTTATCACCTGGATAAAGAAAAACAAAAAACACTGCTATTCATTTCCTGGTTGGTTTGAACATTGAGGTCTTTTTAACAACTACTTTCTATACACCCAATTGGTTCATCCAGAAGGGAGTCCATCTGTGACATCGAAGTGGGCGGGACACCCACAAGTCACTTGTAAGACTTTTTATAATACTGGCTAGAGAGAAGGCTAGTGCAAGTTTTGGTTTCCTAAACTTTTCTGATAAGAATCACCACCCTGGCCCGGCCAGTGTGGCTCAGTAGTTGAGCATCAGCCCATGCACCAAGAGGTCGCCGGTTCGATTCCCAGTCAGGGCACATGCCCAGGTTGTGAGCCTGATCCCCAGTGAGGGGCATGCAGGAGGTAGCCAATCAATGTTTTCTCTCATCAATGTTTCTCTCTCTCTCTCCCTCTCCCTTCCTCTCTCTCCAAAAAAAAAGAATCACCACTCTGGCCGGTTTGGCTCAGCAGTTAGAGCGTCAGCCCACAGACCAAAGCTTGGGTTTGATTCTAGTCAAGGGCACGTACTTAGGTTTCAATTCGGTCCCTGGGGCTGGCTGGGGTCAGGTAGGAGGCAACTAGTTGAGTGTCTCTCTCACATCAATGTTTCTCTCTTTTCCTCTCTGTCTGAAAATGGAAAAATATCTCCAGGTGAAGATTAAAAAAAAAAAGAAATCATCTTGGCATGCACAGACATGCGCGCGCGCGCACACACACACACACCGAATTAGAACAATTAATACTAAAATTTATATGGAACCACAAGAAACACTAAGTAGCCCTGGCTGGTGTGGCTCAGTTGGTTGAGCACTGTCCCATACACCGAGAGGTTGTCAATTCAATTCCCAGTTAGGGCACATACCCAGGTTGTGGGTTCTATGCCCCATTGGTATGTGTGTGGGAGGCAATTGGTTGATGTTTCTCACATCGATGTTTCTTCTCTCTCTCTCTCCCTTCCCCTTCCTTTCTCTCTCTCTCTCAAATCAATAAAAACATATTTTAAAAAAAGAGACGCTAAAGAGCCAAAGAAATTTTTAGAAAGAACAAAGTGGGCGGTATCATGTGCCCTGATAACAAATCATGCTATAAAGCTATAATAATCAAAACAGCATGGTACAGGCATAAAAACAGACACATAGACCAAGGAAACAGAACAGAAAGCCCAGAATCAAATCCTCACTAATATGTTAAATTACTCTACAACAAAGGAGGCAAGGATATACAATGGGATACAGACCGGCTCTTCAACAGTGCTATTGAGGAAACTGGAGAGACACATGCAAAAAAAAAAAAAATGAGGTCGACCACATTCTAACACCACATACAAAGCTCACCTCCTCGAAGACACTCTTGCGGAAGTCCAGCTCCTCCTGCAGGCTCTGACAGCGGTTCTCCAAGTCCACACGCATCAGCGTCTCCTTTTCCAGCTGTTTCTTGGCCACTGCATGACCATCCTCTGCCTGGGAGACACAGGACAAGCAGAGGTGAGAGTCTGTCTGCTGCACTCATCTGGCTCCTCGTGCCCAGGGATCTCCTTTAATACACAAACTCACACCTGTGGGATGTCCCTCGGCCACCCCAGGACTCTCACAGGCCCAGCAGCTTGGGGCATCTTGTCTCCAGACTGGGGCCTGCCGGGGCCTACCTTGGCCAGCTGGGCCCGAAGCTCAGCCACATCGCTCTCGAGGCTGCGCTTATCACTCAGGGCAGCAGCCAGCTCCGCCTCACTCCGGTGGAATAGGGACTCCAGGTCCTTCACACGGCCCTGGGCCACGGTGAGCTCCCCATCCCTCTTCTTGGAGCTGAAAGTCAAGAGCAGAGATTAGCTGGGAAGATTGAACAGCTGTACGGCTGGGGCCCAGGAGGGCCAAGGACAAATTCACTTCTGCCTCAGCAGAGGGCCCTTTTGCTCTTGGGACCTGACCCATCCCCCACTCTCTGGTAAAGGAGCCTCGCTTATCTGCACAAAAAGTGACCCTTCCTCAAACCTGCTCTGCACTGTCAGAACTTTTTTTTTTTAAATCCTCACCCAAGGATATTTTTCCATTTTTGTTCCAATAAAGTGGAAGGGAGAGAGAAACACTGATGTGAGAGAGACACTGGTTGCCTCCCTCACAATCCTGACCAAGGCCAAGGATGAACTGCAATTGAGGTACGTGCCCTTGAGCAGAATGGTACCCGCGACTCACTGGTCTGCGGGCCGACGCTCTAACCGCTGAGCCAAACCAGCTAGGGTATGTCAGGACTCTGACATTTTTTTTTAATCCTCATCCAAGGAAATTTTTGCTTTTATCTTCAGATAGAGCAGGAGAGAGGGGGGGAGAAAGAGAGAGAGAAACACTGATGTGAGAGAGACACATCGACTGGTTGCCACCCACACAACCCCAACCGGGGCCAGGGACAAACTGCAACCGAGGTACATGCCATTAGCAAGAACCGAACCTGGGACTCTCTGGTCCACAGGCTGATGCTCTAACCGCTAAGCCAAACCGGCCAGGGCTGTCAGGACTCTTTTTACCTACAAACACGAGTGTTCAAGAAACCCTCAGGGCATGGGTTTTCATGTCCTTTTCTGAGATTTTTGATCATGAAAAGGATCATTTAGGAGAGAACTCTGCTTTTTAAAAAAAATTAATGTATAATTTACTCAAGTTATAAATTAAAACGCCGGCCTTTGAAAAGTTGATCTCCTAGGTAAACTTCAGCTATTTCATACAGGATCACCTGGTATTCGAATAGACAATTATCTCCAATATCAAATATTTAAGATATCAAATGGATCCTTAATTTCTTTTTCCCATTTGATTTCCAGAGAGCCTGAAAGGAAGGGGCAGGGAAGGGGTGGGTAGGAGAAGAGGGAGAGAAAAAGAGAGAGACAGAGACATACACTGGTTGCCTCCTGCACAACCCTGACTGGGGCCAGGGATCAAATGTGCAACCCACGTATATGCCCCTGACCGGGAATCGAACCTGCAACCCTTTTGGTGTGAGGGCTGAGACACATTGGCCAGGGCTCAAATGGATTCTTTAACATACAACTCTTTACAGCATTAACTTTAGGCTCCAATTCATTTCTGAATGTAATTCTAAATTTCCATGGGGTTGAAAGTTTACACACCTTTTTCCCAAGGAACTTACTAGGCCATCTCAGCAATTGTGGGGACACCTAGGGTCTCCCTTCGGTACTGGGTCACTAGGGCTGGGTCATTCTGTGGGGTTGTCCTGTACCCTGTGGGTGGTAGAACAGCATTCCTGGCCTCCAACCTGGCACCTCAGTTGTGATGACTACAAATGCCTCCAGACATCACCCTGTGTTCCCTGGGTGAAAACCACTGGGATACTGAATAAGCTCATGTGAATTGGGGTGGCATGAAGACCAGCGACTTCAATGTGGAGAATGCTGTTCTCACACCAGAGACACATTTAGAAACAGCCCTGCCTGCATGAAGCAGAGAAGACAGTAAAATATGCTGCCTGTCAGACCTGAATCTGTTGTTAAGGACAGATGAAGCAGGGAAGGGACATGGGGACCGAGCATGTGCCTAGTGGGGGCTGCACCTTTAAGTGGCACAGGCCCTGTAGAAGTAGACCCTGAGAATGTGTCAGGTCCAGTATTTCCAGAAGAATGTTCTGGCTCAGGAAAGAGAAGTGCAAAGGTCCTGGGGTGAGTTGTGCCCAGCAAGTTCAAGCTTAGCATCAAGCCAGGGTGACAGGGAGCAGAGGGATCAGGAGATGTGAAAAATATCAAAACAACTTTATCCAAATTTCGGGTTCTGCAGAACTACGCAGAGTGGTCCAGAGAGCAGGGAAAGTGGTGGCTCTCACTGGTTTATGCGCCTGTTTCTTAAGAGTTTGTTAAAGCATATGTGTAACCATAATTCCCGAAGAATTATGTGGGGGAATCTGGCCTATTTGTTGGGTCTTCCATGTGGTTACCCTCAATTCTACCATCAGAGAAATTTGGTGATAAATTTGTTAGGAAAAGAAAAGCACTGGATGTGACCTATCTGGAAGTTCACAACATGTTTGGGGTTACAACCCACCCACTGCCCTGCCCTGGGAGACTTGAAGACAAGAAACAGGAAGTCAGGCAACCAAGAGAAGTGCCTGCAGATCTCTAAACGCCAAAGGCTGGAGATCAGACAAGGAAAAGGCAACAGGTCCAGAGAATCTAGGGAGCTGTCTTTCCCAAGTGGGAGTCTTAAACAAACAAGCCACCCACCACATCCAGAATCAGGTAAGTCTTGCTTACAAGCCAAGGGAAATGACTATCCTGACAATGGGCACATTTGTCACCCAAAGAAGCTGTCACAGAACAATGGGACCAACCTGAGCCGTGGCAACCACTAGTGACACACTCCCAGATGCTAGGACATGCCAGCAGCTGGGACACTGCGTCACAGAGGACAAACATAACTCAGAAGGTGAAGAGGCTCGCTATACTGAAAGAACCTCATCGCTGTCTGTGTACACCTTTAGTTTAAATTAAAAAGGTGGAAAAGACATGTATCAGATCAGCTACAGAAATTCCATCTGAATGGAGTCTCATGCACATTTTTATTTTTATCTTTAAACTAGCTTGCATTTTCCACTTTCTTGACTGAGCATCTATGACTCTGATAAACAGAAAAAACACGATGTCTCAGCCCAGACCAGGAACGGCAGGCAGAATGTCAATTCTGAACTTTAGTTGATAATAATGTACAGACATTGACTCATCATTTGTATACATGGCTCACTCATTAAAATACTGACACTGGGGAAACCCAAGAGGGGATATTCTTTTCTTTTCTTTTAATTATTTTTCCTTTATTGATTTTAGATAGAGAGGAAGGGGGAGAGAGAGAGAGAGATAGAAACATTGATGAGAGAGAACATCGATTGGCCGCCTCCTGCATGCCCCCCATTGGGGATCGGGCCCTCAAACTGGGCATGTGCCCTGACTGGGGATCGAACTGGCAACCTCTTGATGCTCAACCATTGAACCACATGGGCCGGACCCAAGAAGGGATTTTCAAAACTGAATTTTCCTGTAAACCAAAAACTGCTAAAAAAAAACACCCCTCTATTAATTAAAAAAAAAAAAAGTCTATTCATTAAAAGAGAAAAGATACTGCAGATATGAAAGTGGCTGTTGGCCGTTGGAACTACAAGAGGGACTCAGGAAACCAGGTCCAGGCCAACCTGAGGGAACTTGGACAAGTCCCTGACCCCATGCCTCAGTTTCCCCCTCTGTAAATGGAGATGAGGATAGTCCCGCCCTGCTAGGGTTCCTGTGAGGATGAAAGGATAATGCCTGAACTTGGTGTTACTCATGGTACCCCCTTTATTACTTTAGTACTTGATGTATTTAAATTATTTTATTACACCCTGAGTGGCTCAGTTGGTTGAAGCGTCGTCCCATTCACCGAAGGTTTCGGGATCAATCCCTGGTCAGGGCGCATATGGATGTTTCTCTATCGACATCGATGCTACTCTCTCTCTCCCCCTCTCTAGAAATCAATGAAAACATGTCCTTGAGTGAGGATTTAAAAAAAAAAAAAATTACTTTATTAATTTTGCTACTGGCATCACCAGCATCAGCTTGTTCTCCAAAATTTCAGAGCCTTTTTAGTCATAAGCAGGCAAAAGAACATGCTTTGTGAATATCAAAAAAAGCTCAGCCTGAAGGCCAGTTGCAATGGGTCCAGTTAGGGTAAGGGTGGGGAAGGAGGAGGAATCTGGCCCCGAAGTTGCCCAGGGTGGGGACCCTGAGAGGAGGCACAGAGGACATCATCTCATGTAAGACAGCAGGGGTTGGGGCATCCAGGGGCCCCAGGGACAGGGAAGTTGGCATCACCAGTGGCTCCCAAATCCAGGGCAGAGGAAGGCAGCGGTGGGTCCTTGGGGCAGCTGCGCTCTGTGGCCTGAAGGAGGAGGTGGGCCCAGTACTAAGACCTCCTAGATTCAGTCCTAGGATTGCTGCTCGGGTTCAAAACCCTCCTTGGGCCAAATGATGTTGGGAATAAAGGTGGTCAGGGAGCAGCTAGAAGACCAGACCACAGAGGCCACCTCCCCACCCACCCAGCGGCCAGTGCACTCCCAACCACTGGTCTCCAAGAACCCACAGGGCCAGCTCCCATGTCTGCCTGAGTGGGGGCCGCCAGCTTGGACACAAGCCCCCACGGGTCTCTGGGTGTTTCTCAGAGTGACCCCACACACAGGGTGTTGACAAGCCCCTGGCCCCAGCACCCGCCATGGCCCTAGAATCAGGCCAACATCACACCAGCTGCACCCCTACCTTTTGTTGGCCTCTTCCACTTCAGACTTCAGTTTCCCTATTTCGATCTGCAGCCGGGCACGCTCTCGGGCCGTCTCGTCCAGCACTCTGCGAGCGTCGGCCAGCTCCGACTCATACAGTGTCTTGATGCCACTTACCTGGAGAGGCAGCAAGGCCCAGGTTAAGAAAAGCCCCCCCAAAACAGCAGGCGTCCCAGGGTGGCCTCCATGGGACACAGCTTCTGCTAACCTGGGAGGCCTCCCGACTAGCTCAGCCCACCAACTCTGGGAGACCCCAGCTGCCTGACCTGCCTCCATCACTTGTCCCCTGCCAGGTCACACCTAGCAGTTGGACACACAACTCATATTTCCCACCAGCCTCCTTGCCCTCCCCTCCCCATGTGGAGGTTCACACGCTTACAAATACTTGGAACCAAACAGGACAGGGAGGCACCACCTCACCCCCACTGGGACAGCTGGAGTGTAAAAAAGATGGATGGTAACAAGTGCTGGTGAGGACATGAAGAAGTGGGAACCTCCAGTCATGGGTGGTGGGAATGAAAAATGTGCAGCCACTGTGGAAGGCAGTCTGGCAGCTGCTCAGATGGTTAAACAGAGAGTAACTACAAAACCCAGCCATTCCACTATCAGATATCCACCCAAGAGAAATAACATATTTACACAAAACCTGCACATGTGTTCATGGCAGCACGATTTACAACAGCCAGAAGAGAAAACAGCCTGTCAGTGTGGCTCAGTGGTTGAGCATTATCCCAGGCACCAAGAGGTCATCAGGGCACATGCCAGGGTTTCAGGCTCCATCCCCAGGAGGGGGCGTGCAGGAGGCAGCCTATTGATGATTCCCTCTCATGAATGTTTCTCTCTCTCTCTCCCCCTCTTCCTCTCTCTATAAAATCAATAAAAATGTATTTTTTAAAAAGTGAAAGCAACACAAATGTCTTTTGACAGATGATGGATAACAAATGTGGTCCCTCCACACACTGGAGTATTTCTTACTCAGCCATGAAAAGGAGTGAAGCTCTGACACTCGCTACAATATGGATGGACCCTGAAACCATGATGCTCAGTGAGAGAAGCCAGACACAAAAGGCCCCATAGTGTGTGATTCCATTTATGTGAAATGTCCAGAACAGGCAAGTCCACAGAGACAGAGAGTGGGTTAGCGGTTGTCAGGAGCTGGGGTGGGCTGGGGAGTGACTGTGGATGGGGACAGGGTTTCTTCTGGGGGAGACAAAGTGTTCTGGAATTAGACAGGGGTGATGACTGCCTATTCTAAATATACTAAAAACCACCGAACTAGAGAGTTTAATTAGGTGAACTGTCTCAGATAAAAGTTGTATCTCAATAAAGCTCTTAAGACTCCATGTGGTGCTGACAGGGAAGGCAGACAGGGCGACAGCAGACCCACTCTCCGGGCAGCTGGCTTGGACAGCTGTACCATGTGCCACAAAGCTGCAGAACACCAGTGAGTATCTGTGCTGGGGTGCAGGATCAGCTTAGATCCTGCGAGGGCCACTCCCTTCCCTTTCACAGGACAAGCCCCTGAGCAGAGGGGTTTAGGGGAGCTGCCAAGGACTTGTCACTCAGTAGGGTGACCAATGGTCCCAGTTTGCGTGGTACCGAGAGGTTTCCTGATGTGAGATTTTCTAGAATGTCCTGGGCAAGTCCAGACAAGGTGGGACTTCACCACCAGTCTGCGACTCCTACCTCCCACCTTTCTGGGCCTGGAATGTCCTGTGCCTCACTCCAGCAGCTCCCAGACCTGTCATCCCTGAGGAAAGGCTACCGGCTCCTGGCCCCATTTCACAGATGGGGAAAACCGAAGCACAAAACAATAAACCGCCCTCTCCTAACCTGTGAAAATACAGGACAGAGCAGGTCTGCTGGGGACAATTCCGAGGGAGGGGCATGGTACATGGTGAAGGAACAGAGACAAAGCAAGCGTCTCCCTCCTGCGCCCTGGCCGATCCCCTGCTCCCCTCCACACACACAGCAAGGGCCCTCTCTCCCACCAGCAGCAGTCTCCTTGGGTCATCCCTCCACTTCCACCCTCTAGGAGCTGCCTTCTGGAATAAACTCTGAATTTACAGAAAGCTGCCTGTCCCACTCTCCAAAGATAGCTGGACACCTGGGTTCACATACCTGTCTTTGCCATCTTCTGCTATCTCAACTTGCAGAACTCTCCTGAACCCCATGGAGGGTCTGGCACCCTGAGGGAGGAGCCACAGACAAGGTCCCCTGCCCCCCACCACAAGACTGGGTGCCTAGCCCTGAACAGGTAGCTCAGTTGGTTAGAGTGTCCTCCCACTACGCTTAGGTTGCGGGTTTGATCCCCGGTCAGGACACATACAGGAACCAACCACTGAATGCACAAATAAGTCAAATGACAAAATCAACAATGTCTCTCTCTCTCTCTCTCTCTCTCTCAAATCAATAAAATAAAATAAAAAGAGTGGGTGCCGCCCTGGCCGGTTTGGCTCAGCGGTTAGAGCGTCGGCCTGCGGTCCTGAGAGACCCGGTTCGGTTCCCGCTAAGGGCGCGTACCTCGGTTGCAGTTTGTCCACGGCCCTGCTCGGTTGTTCGGGTGGCAGCCACTTGATGTGTTCCTTTCGCATCGATGTTTCTCTCTCTCTCTCTGTTCCTCTCTCTCCCTCCCACTCTACCTGAACAAAGAATGGAAAAATGTCCTCAGGTGAGGATTAAAAAAAAAAAAAAAAAAGAGTGGGTGCCTACTGTGGTCCTTTCTCTCCCACCCTCCCCATCTTGGACAGGAGGGTCTCAGGCTGCAGCAACACAACAGGAAACCATGTTAGAGCTCAGGCACAAGGGAAAACCAGCAATTCTGATACTGGATTTAAGTTTTAGATATTTTGGTCACCATGGATTTTTTGTTGTTGTTGTTGCATTTATTCCAATTTAAAAAAATATTTCATGAAGCCCTGGCTGGTGTGGCTCAGTTGTTTGGAACGTCATCCCGTGCACCAAAAGGTTGTGGGTTCAGTCCGGCCGGTGTGGCTCAGTGGTTGAGCGTTGACCCATGCACCAAGACGTTGCCGTTTCAGTTCTTGGTCAGGGCACATGCCCAGGTTGTGGGCCAAATTCTCAGCGGGGGACATGCAGGAGGCGGCCAATCAATGATGCTTCTCTGCTTCTGCCTTCCTCTCTCTCTAAAATCAATAAAGAAAAATATTAAAAAAAAAAAAGGTTGTGGGTTCAATTCCTGGTCAGGGCACATGCCTGGGTTGCAGGTTCAATCATGGTTGGGGCATGTACAGGAGGTAACCAATCAATTCCCCCCTACCCCAATCAATAAACACATCCTTGGGTGAGGATTATAAAAAAAAAAAAAATCATTAAAATATTAGTTATCCCATTGCCCCAGCCAGACCATGGGAAAAACACCAGATGACCCCAATAGAGGGCCACCTACCAAATTCCTGACCCCCCACCTCACAACTGCCCAGGGCATGAACATTGAGGAATGTGTCAGAAATGTCACAGCCCAGAAGGGGACTAAGGAGATGTGACACCTGTCAGGTGGGATCCTTGATGGGGTCCTAGGACCTCAGGGGAAAATTAAGGAAATCAGTGTTAGTTAACATTGATGTATTGATATTGATAAACTGGTTCTGAGAAACACTAATGTAAGATTTTAAAAAAAATTTTAACTTACTCATTTTAGAGGAAGGCAGAGAGAGGGAGGGAAGAGGGAGGGAGGGAGAGAGGGGGAGGGGGGGAGAGAGAGAGAGATTGAGAGAGAGAGAGAGAGAGAGAGAGACTGATTTGTTGTTTCATTTATTTGTGCATTCATTGGTTGACTCTTGTATGTGCCCTGACCCGGGATCTAACCTGCAACCTTGGTGTATCAGGACGACACTCTAACCAACTGAGCTACCCAATCAGGGCCTAATGCAAAAGGTTAACAGGGAAACTGGGTTGGGGTACAAGGGAACTCTGTACTACCTTTGCCATTTTTCTGTAAATTTAAAACTGACCTAAAAATAAAGTTGAGTAATTAAACATATATCATATCATTCATCTCCATGACTGAGATATCGGGGCCACCATTAGATTCTGTGTTCAAGGTGAGTGCCCCACTTGCAGGCCCTGCTCCAGGCTCCTGGGCCATCCCAGTGTCTTGTTTAAAGCACTTTGTTTTGGTGTTTCCAGGGTGTGTGTGCCTTAAGGCAGTTATCTCTGGCCAGGTCTGCAAATTCAGGTCCTCGGCTAAAATTCCAGCCCACTGCCTGTTTTTGTCCAGCCTGCAAGTCCAGAATGGTTTTCCCATTTTTAAATTGCTGAGGGAAAAAAAGAAAAAGATACTTTGTGATACAGACAATTAATATATTACAGTGTGCATAAAGCTTACTGGCACCAGCCTGGCCCAGCCTGTGTTGCTGTGGCAGCTTTCCCACTATAACGGCCCAGTTCAATGGTGTGACTGAGATCATCCGGCCCAGAGCTGAAAACGACTCTGGCCCTTTTCAGAAAACATGTGCTGACCCTGATCTATGGCGCTGGAACAATGAGAAAATTCTTGTCTAGAGAAAGACAAACAGACAGCCAACTTCCCAAAGATTCTTTCAGACCACAAACAGGTGCTCTCCCAACAGGCCCTTGCTTTCCTGCACCTGTGATCATCACTGTGGGCACTGCAGAAGCCTGGGGCACCGCAACAGGAGAGGAACAGCTTGGGTCTTTTTTCTTTTATGGCTCGCACAAGTGCCAAACATGAGGAATCCCAACAAATGTGTGAGCACATGTTAGCCGGGCGTGTGTGTGTGTGTGTGTACAGATACCTAAGGTGGCCTTTTCCTCTTGCCTATGTCCCTGGGGGGACAAAAATCACAGCTCTGGAGATAAAACCCAAACATGGGCTCTCGTGGATAGACACAGGCCCTACCCCAAGTGGTAGCTCCTCCCCACAAGCTCCAGGACCCCAACTCCTACCACTTGGGGAGCCCCACCCCCCACCCTGAAGCAACAGGACACCTGGGCAGGTAAGGGAAAGGAAATGGAAGCCAAGAGGAACTTAACACCAGACTGTGGAGACTCCCTGAAAAACCACCCCTCCCTGGCCCACAATACCCCTCTCCAAGCACCCATGAACTTTTTCAAACAGAAATCTGGCCAGCCCCAGCCCCCACCTTCCAGAACCCCTCCAATGACATCTGCAGTGGCTATTCACCCAGTACTGCCCACTGGGCCAAGAGGTGTCAACTGACGTCCAATAGGAAAGGCCTGGAATGCACACATGGCCAGTTTATGTATCAGCAAGTGTGAAGAAGAGTATATGTGGACCAGACAAAGGGGCAAGATGGGCACCAGCCAAGGGGGAGAGCAGAGCTACAGTTTTATCTCAGGTACCTGAATTACTTGAGTTTTATTACAAGTGTGTGGTACACTCCTAACATTTCAAATGGCTTCTTCAAAGGGTTTATTACGCGGCTTCTCAGCCCTAACCCTACTGGCATTTGGGGCCATCCTGGGCACCGTGGAGTGCTGAGCAGCATCCCTGCCCCCACCCACTCAATGCCAGAAGCACTCCCAGTCATAACAATAAAAAATGTCCCCCAGCCCTGGCTGGTTTGGCTCAGCAGTTAGAGCATCAGCCCACGGACCAATGAGTCGTGGTTTCGATCCCAGTCAAGGGCATGTATCTGGGTTTCTGTTCGTCCCCAGTGCCCTGGTCGGGTCATGCGGGAGGCAACCTGTCGATGTGGCTCTATCACATCGATGTTTCTGTCTGTCTCTCTCTCCCTCCCTCCCTCCCTTCCACTCTATCTGATGATAATGGAAAAAGTCTTTGGGTGAGGAATCAAAAAAAAAAAAAGTCTCCAGATATTGCCCAGTGTCCCCTGGAGGGCAGGATCACTCCAGTGAGATGACCCTGTAAAGGTAACCTGCACACTCCTCAGCATGACATATCCACATCTCTTCTAGAACAGCCACCTTCCAAGCCCCCACTCGCCACCCACTTCCCACCAGCCTGAGCAGAAGCTGCTCACCATCAAGGGCCTCACTCTGTCCCCTCAAGAGCCTAAAGCCTGGGCCCCACAGTAGCCCAAGGCCATTTGCAGGTCACTCCCTCCTTACAGCCCACTGACCACCCCACACTCACTGCTTCAAGTCCCCTCTCCAGTATGTTATCAATCAGCTCCCTCCACTGACCAGCATTTATCACCTCACCCCGTAAGCAGCAGGGAGCTCCAAGTGAACAGACTAGTTGAAACTCCCTAGCTCCAGCTGTGAACACACCTGTCATCACCTAAAGTCCCCCTGCCTATATGGGGCAGGTTTAGCCCCTACAGCCATCCCTTACTCCCAGATGTTAGCTTAGATTCCAGCAACCCCTAGCAGCTGACAAATAAGCCATACCCAGGGATCAGGGACATACCCTCCATGAGACCCGACTAAGTTCGGCACTCCCGAAAGTCAGTGCAGTCTCATCCCATTTGCAGATGGGACAACTTGGAGGGGATAGGGAAGACGAGAAACCAGCTCAGCCCTGGCCGGTTTGGCTCAGCGGTTAGAGCGTCGGCCTGCGGTCTACAGAGACCCGGGTTCGGTTCCTGCTAAGGGCATGTACTTTGGCTGCAGTTTGTCCCCGGCCCTGGTCAGGTTGTGCGGGTGGCGGCCACTCGATGTGTCCCTTTCACGTCGATGTTTCTCTCTCTCTCTCTCTCTTCCTCTCTCTCCCTCCCACTCTGTCTGAACAAAATATCGAAAAATGTCCTCAGGTGAGGATAAAAAAAAAAAAAAAGAAACCAGCTCAAACATGGGGCGCTGACCAGCTCAGCAGGGAGAAACTGGGCTGGCAAACTGAGGACCCTCCACTGCTAAGGCAGGTGGTCACTATTTAGGTGGGATCATTCTAGCCCCACTGAACAGATAACAAAACTGAGGCTCCAACAGGCTGAGTGACCTGCCCAAGGTCACACAGGTTAAAAGCAGAGTTTGGACCCGGAGAATGAATTCAAGCTCAAGCAACTTAGAATAGCACCACCAACCACCAGATGAGATGGTCTCTCCCAGCCCAACACCCAAGCTCCACTTTCTGAGCAGGTCTCTGTACTAGTGACTATTAAACAGGGACAACAGAACCCAAACCAGTGCTTGCACTGGGCAGCTATCCTGTATTCCATTGTCTTTACTTTACAAAACAAACATTAACTCATCATAGTTCCACAAACAAGCCTAAAAGGTGAGTATTATTATTTCCACTTTACAGAAGAAGCAGTGAGACCCAAGGTCACACAGAGGGCAAGCAACTCCCAGAAATGACCCCCAGCTGTTCTCCTGCCATCAGTCCCTCCTTTGGCCCATTCTCCCGATGGGAAGGTGAGGCTCAGAGGACCTGGCTCTTCCACCAGACCCACAGGGAAAGCACGTGGTGGGCACTCCCCCCTACTGAGAAGACCCGAGCTTGGGTTGGGCAGGGCCAGCGAGAGGGAGAAAAGAAGGGGTGGGTTTGGGTAGGCAGCCACAGTCCATCCCCTCGGGCCTACCGGGTTCCTGCCCAAGAGGGATCAGGGCCAACTGAGGGTCTCCCAAATTTCCCACCTGACCCCTGGAGGCATCAGACCCTCCCCTTCGGACCCCACCCCAGGCTCGGATAGGAGATGGCCCCTATTGCCCAACCCCCACCCAGTCCCCAACCTCCCCAGGACTCATCATGGGACCCATGAGGATTACCACAGAGAACTGACCACATGAGTGGCCCAGGGACCCCCACTTTTGAAAGCCTCTGCCCCTCCTCAGGGCCTCTCAATGAGTCTGAGCTTCGCAGTCTCTTCAGAGACCAGAAAATAGCTCCCAAATTTTCTCCCAGCATGCCCGAACACCCAAACGCACCGAGGGAAAGTCCCCGTAACACCTTTAGGTGCAGGGCCTCGCCGGGCTCACACCCCGTCACTCAAGGGAACCCCGATTTCCTCGAATCCCTTGGTGGGCGGGGCCTGCCCATCTCCACCTGTCGCTCAAGGGGGAGGCCCAGATTCCCTGGGGAGCCCTCAGTGAGTGGGTCTGCCCAAGACTGCACCCCTAGGGTATACCCCAAACCCCGTGGGGATCCCCCTCGGTGGGCGGGGCCCGCCCCAGGGCAGAGAGCCCGCCCCGGCATGCACATCTCGCTCAGGGCCTCCCAAGCCCCCCTGGGGACCCGTCCGTGGACCCCCCCCGGGCCCCGGGCTCTTGCCCACCTCGCGCGTGGTCACCTCCTCCCGTTCGGAGATCTTGAGCAGGAGCCGGTCATTCTCCAGCTCCAGCGCGCGGACTCGGTCGATATAGTGCGCCAGACGGTCATTGAGCTCGCGCAGCTCCTCCTTCTCCTGCAGCCTCGACAGGCGCGTGGGCGACAGCGGCGTGGCAGGCCCGCCCGTGCGGCCGGACATCGGCGTGGCCATGGTGCTGGTGGCGGCGGCGGCGGCTCCGGGCCCGCGCGGTTCCCGACGGCGGCGGCTCGGCGGGCTCATTCAATCCGCGCCGCCGACCAAGATGGCGCCCGCCGCCCGCGGCCGCCGGCGCCGGGCAGCCTGGAATTTGTAGTCCGGCTGAGCGCCGTGTGGGGTATGCCGGGAGCTGAAGTTCCGGCGAGGAGCTCCCGCTCGGCCTCCCGCTGCGTGTTTAGCTGTTCATTAGACAGCTAGCGGAAGGCGCCCGGTCCAAAGCCAAACTATTGGGCTTCAAAATCCCAGCTCCGCCCACTGTGTGACACCGGATTTCTTTACAGTGCCTCAGTTTCCTTACTCGTATTACCTACCTATCTCTTTGGAGTCTTATTAAAAGTGGCGAACCCGCTCAGCCGGTGTGGCTCAGTGGATGAGCATTGACCCATGCACCAGGAGGTCTCGGGTCGGATTCCTGACCAGGGCACATGCCCAGGTTGTGGGCCCAATCCCCTGTGGGGGGCGTGCAAAAGGCAGCCAATCGATGTTCTCTCTCATCGTGTTTCCCCCCCCCTTTTTTAATTGATTTTTTTTGGAGAGGGAGTAAGGGAGAGAGAGAGAAACATCCATGTCAGAGAGAAACATCGATGGACTGTCTCCTGAACGCCCCCCACTGGGGATCGAGCCAGCAACCTGGGCATGTGTCCTGACCCGGAATCGAACCAGGACCTCTCAGTCCATGGTATGATGCTCAGTCCACTGAGCCACACCAGCGGGCTCTCATCTATGTTTCTCTCTCTCTCTCCCTCTCCCTAAAAATCAATAAAGAAAAAAAAAAAAGGTGGTGAAGAACCCTTAAAAACATGGTCAGTGATCTCATTCATTCCTGGAATCTTAAACAAACAAAAAAAGAGCTCATAGATCCAGAAAACAGATGGGGGTGGGCATGAAATGGATGAAGGAGGTCAAAAGGTACAAACTTCTAGTTATAAGATAAGTATGGGGATGTGATGTGCAGCATAGGGGCTATAATTAACAGTACTCTGTATCTGAAAGTTGCTAAGAGAGAAGATCTTTAAAGTTCTCATCACAAGAAAAAAACAAAACAAAACTCCAATTATGTATGGATGTTAACTAGACTTATGGTGGTGATCATTTTCCAATATATACATATATTGAATCATTAGGTTGTACACCTGAAATAATGTTATTATAGTCAATTAAGAAAAAAACATGCTCAGTGAAAGAAACCAGACAAAAAGGCCACATACTGTATGATTACATTTATATAAAATGTCTAGAGAAGCAAACTTATAAAGTAGGGTCTAGGTACTGTAGACATTTGGGCCTCATCCCTCGCTGTGGTGGAGGGCCACCCTGTTCCTTTTAGGATGTGGAGCATCTCTGCTCTTCCCCCACCACTACTTGATGCCACTAGTACCACCACCACCTCCAGTCGGGACAACCAAAAGTGTCTCCAAACATTGCCCCATGTCACCTGAGGGGCAAATCACCCCCAGTTGAGAACTACTTCCTTTATGTTGTTCTGGAACCTGCCAGGTGTTCCTTCTGCCAGAATCCCTCCTCCCCACACATGCACCTGGGCACTTGGTTCAGCCTTTCTCAGGAACCCCAGCCAATCCACCAGGGAAGAGTCCTTACCTGTCCTGCACACCTGAAGCACAGGGCCCAGCCTTAGAACCCAGCCAGGCACGAGTGAGTCCATGGCTACACTGTGACTATGCTGTCTTCTGAAAAATTACCTTGTGTCTGTGGGCCCACTGTTTTTTCTTCGACTGGTAGAAATAGAAAATATTTATGACGGGATTTAAATCAAAATATGAATAAGTGATACTACAGGAGACAGGGCCAAGAGGAGAATATGACTGAGGTTTGGGGTGGCATGGGGTCACCTTTCCTACCCTCCACCGGCCCTCCCCCCCAGCCTTAGCTGCAAACCCCTCCCCATCAAAGCTCCAGCTGACCAACGCCCACCTGATGCCCACTGGCCTGCCATTCAAGGCTCTGCAGGGTCCCACCGTCACCCACCGCGCTGGCCCCTCTTGGCACTTGCTGTACCCATGCTGGCTGCGTGGGCAGGCCTGGGCCTGTCTGCTCCTCTATTAAATAGAGTCTGGCCCCCTACTCCTGGGTCTGATCTCTCAGCGCTGGACCCCGCGAGACCCACCCCCCGGGAGCTGGACTCCAAGTCCCAGAAAGCCCCGCGCGTCCCGTGGGTGGGGCCCAGACTCCCCCTCCCCCTGCGCAGTTTGGGAGGCGTTGGCAATTTTCAAATTCTGGCGCTAAGCAGGCAGGGCGGCGACAGCTGCGGCCGTGACCCCCCACCCCTTCCCCGAAGACCCGAGGTCTGGGGCCCCGGCCTAGTTGGCACGTTCACTCCGCGGGCTCCCCAGGCACGACACACGGCGGGGTCTTCCGGCCCATTTCCAGGACGGAAAACTGAGGCACACAAGGATTTTTTTTTTTTTTTTTAGGGAACTTGTCCCGGGGCCCCAGCAGGGACGTAGCAGGGTCGGGATTTGTACCCGGGACTCTGGCCCCAGGGCGCTAGAAAGTTAATGGCCTACGGCTGTCTGCTGTAGGGTAGGGTGCGGGCGGCGGGCGAGAAGTCCGCGAGCCCGGGACGATCCAGCCCCACCAGCCCGGTCCCCTTCCTTCCCAGCCTTCCCAGCCCTACCCCACCCCGCTCCACCAGGAATAAGGCGCCAGATTTTAAAAATCTTGTGCAACCGCTGCCGCTGGCTCCCGGCCCGGATTTCGAGCCTAAATCCTGAATTACAGAGGACCCTGGATCTGGGGATCTCGGATTCCGGAGCCTAGACTGGAGGGCAGGGCGGCGGGGGCACTGCTTGCGAAGCCTGAGTCTGGGCATCCTAAATTCGGGACCCTGGGCCTGGGGGCGGGGCCTGGATTCTATAGTCTGGATCCGGGTCCTCCCCCATCCCAGAAACTGATGTAGGAGGATTCTGGAACTCAGGTTCCAGAGCCAGGAGGCTAAACCTGAAATCCAGGACCAGAATTTGGGAATCTGGGGCTGGAACCTTGTAATCCCCAAATCTGAAATTTTGGAGGTGGGTAGTGCTGGAATTTACGGGAACAGCTTTTTTGTTAAATGGGTGAACAGAATAATGAAATCAATAAATATTGATTGATCATCTCTTGTATCCTGGCACTGGGACTGCATCAGAATCCAAAGCAAAGAACCCTGCTCTTGGGACGCTGACATGGGCAGAGTAGGGAGACAGAGAGGAAACAAGTCCATGTATCAAATAAGCAAATTACATGGTATGTTAGAAGACAGTACGTGTGGAGAAAGAAAGCAGGGTAATGGGGCTTGGGTGCCTGTGGGGTAGGGGGCTGTGTTTTTATTTATTTATTTATTTTTGGTACATACCCCTAGTGAAACCGAACCCAGGACTTTCTGGACTGCAGGCGGACTCTCCAACCATTGAGCCTGTGTTTTTAAATAGGGTGGGCCTCTTGGAGAAGGTGACATTTGAGCAAGGACTTAGAAGGCAGGGAAGAACCAGATGGATATGTGAGGAGAAAGCCTTCAGGGGAGAGGGGACACCAGCCAGTGCAAAGTTAGGTTCTAGGCATGGTGGGCATGGCAATGAATGAGAACTTCCCGTGATATTAAAGAAACAGGTATTAAAGAAGGGAAAAAAACAAACAAACATGTAATATAACATTAGTGCATCAGTTATCTATTGCTCTGTGACAAATAGCTCCAAAATATAGTGGCTTAAAGCAATTTATCTCAGTTTTTGTGGGTCAGGAATTTGGGAGCTATTTAGCCAAGCTGTTGGGCTGTAGGCTTCATAAGACTACAACCAAGGCATCAGCTAGGGCACGGTTATTGGAAGGGTTCAGGTTCTTGCAGGCCATTGGGCCAAGAGTCTCAGGGCCCTGCTGGCTGCTGTCCACGGGCTGTCTCATCACGTAAGAGAGGATGATCTGACTTGGGTTTTGAAACCCTCATTGTTTGTTGTAATAGGAAAAAACAAGCAAACAAAAACTAAAAACAACCTGGCCAGTTAAGGGTCAACACATGCACCAAGAGGCTCGGCCGGTGTGGCACCAGGAGGTCACTGATTCGATTCCCAGTCAGGGCACATGCCCAGGTTGTGGGCCCAAACCCCAGTGGGGGGCATGCAGGATATGGCCAATTGATGTTCTCTCTCATCGATGTTTCTTTTTTTTTTTTGGTATGTGCCCCTAGCGGAACCGAACCCAAAACTCTCTGGTCCACAGGCGATGCTCCAACCGCTGAGCATGCTGAGAGATGTTTCTTTCTCTCTCTCTAAAAATCAATAAAGAAAAAAATATATTTTTTAATTAAAAAAAAAAAAGAGTAAACGGAGCCTGGCTGATGTGGCTCAGTTGGTTGAGCATTATCCCATACACCAGAAGAAGGTTGCTGGTTCCATTCCAGGTCAGGGCACATGCCTGAGTTTCAGGCTTGATCCCCAGTAGGGAGCGTGCAGGAGGCAGCCAATTGGTGTTTCTCTCCCTCTCCTTTCCTTTCTCTAAAATCAATAAAAACATATTCTTTTTTTTTAAGTATAATTCAGTGGTTTCTAGCTTATTCATAAAGTTGTGCAATCATTACCACAACAAACTTTAGGACATTTTCGTCCCTCTTAAAGGAGACCCTGTCATCATCTGCAGTCCCTCCCTCCCCCCTCCCCCAGCCCCTGGCAACCAGAGACCACTTCTTGTCTCTGAGGATTTGCCTGTTCTGGACATTTCACATAAATGGAATCACACTGGCTTCTCTCACTGAGCATCATGTTTTGTTTACTTTTTTTTTTTCTCAACCCTCACCCGAGGATGGTTTTTGTTTGTTTTTAATTGATTTTAGAGAGAGAGGAAGGGAGAGGGAAGAAGGGAGAGAGAGAGAGAAAGAGAGAGGGAAACATCAATATGAGAGAGAAACATCGATCAGCAGGCTGCCTCCCTCATGCACCCAGATTGGGGATGGATCCCGAAACCCGGGCATGTGCTAGGATGCGGAATCAAACCTGTGACCCTTCGGTTCATGGGACAACACTCTAGCCACACGAGCCAGGGCTGAGCATCATGTTTTC